CGTACTCAAAAAAACTGAGGCTGTATTGTGGCCAAAGGTACTTGAACAAAGTACTGAGCAAACTGAAGCACCTCCCACAGAGACAGGGTTGAATGCCTTCTCTAAGTAGGCACACGTAGTCTGGTTTTGCAAACTCCCATGAACCTCAAGTATCCTCAAGAGGATAAGGAGCTGGTCCAGTGTACCATGACCAGGATGAAACTGCATTGTTCCTGCTGTATCCGAGGTTCGACTGATGAAAGGAATCTTCTTCTCAGCATCTTGGCATAGACTTTCACAGTGAGGGTGCAAAATGTGATTCACCTATAGTGACAAATCTCTATCATACAAAGAAGAATACTCATGATTCTGAATCACTGCCATCTTCTTTGGGCCAAAGCTCATTTAAAATTAACTTTTCTTTTTGGAAAACATGGACACCATTTTGTCAGGACTAAGGACTCCAGCTTGTTATCAGCACTCAGTTCGAAACCTGCACCTTTGATAGGAAGGGGGTGCGTTCGTGCCTGTGAAATCGGCAGCTTGCACATCTGGAAAGGCACCATCAGCTGCCATGTGTAGCTTTTTGAGTAATACTGTTTGGCTAATACTGTCATGACAAGCACCAAAGAGTTCAGGCTACAGGTCTGCATAGCCGCCTCACCAACAGAGGTGTGGAACATTTTCTCTTCACCCGAGAGTCCAGAACATGCAGCTGCAAATCTGAAACTATGTTGACACTATTCACTCACCCATCCAAACCATCAGGTGTCAGAATGACTTTCATGGCCACAGGTGTATAAAATCAAGCACCTAGGCATGAGTTAGACTGCTTCTACTTTTGTGAAAGAAGAGTCACTCTGAGGAGCTCGGTGAATTCTAACATGGTATCATGATAGGATGCCATTTGTGCAACAAGTTCAGTCATGGAAATACCTTGTGGGCAAGATGGCGGATGTAGCAGGTGGTGGTGCAGGTGGTGGTGCAGGCGTAGCTCCGACTTTCAAACGGTCATGATTAAAACCAGATCATATAAAAAAACTGATGGAGGGGTGATTGTAGAGGACGAACTGCTTAATTTCCTTGCTGTAAAAATCAAAACTTTAAGTCAGGATGAAGTTGTGTTGTTGGCCACGAACACATTTGAGTCCGAGGGGA